AATATTGCCAAGGTGCAAGTAGCTTCTAGCTTGCTGCGTTAGGCACTTTCTAATAAGACATCAAAATAAAGCCATCAAGCCAAACACATTCCATGAAATTATGGAGTTGCACCACTGGTGTAAGCACCCATTATACTTAAACACAGTCCACAACAAAAGCACATAGTTTACAGGTAAAGTACAGCCACAAGTCACATCCTAAATACTACATCTGTACCTCAGATAGAAATCCTTACAAGCCATTAACCAAATACGCATCATCATGCACACTGACAGAAATCAGAAAGCTTTTAGGGCCCAGAAAATTTAGACAACAAAATTGTGAACTCCACACATGAGAAAAATATTTATATTTATTACCCCTGCATTTCTGAAAGAATTCAGAAAGCATGTTAAGAACCTAGAGCAAAACAAGGTATCATATTTTCTCCTAAATAAGTAGCCTACTACCACTGTGCAGAATTAATCTTCAGTTGTGGGGAAGAGAAGGGACACTACTGGACCTTAGTCTGAGGTCTCAAAAGTGAGAATCAGTCCTGGCTACCTGCCAGACCGAATGTTACAATGGCGAGGGTATGGCCAAGAGCATTAACATTCAATGGGCCTCATACTTCACCTCAAAGTCTATAAAGAAGGGCTCCATCTACTCTCGTATCAGTCTAAATGAAAAACAGTTACTTTCAACATCTGATGATGTTTTTATAAACAAAATGATCTTAAAAACTAGAAACGAGGATTTTCAACTTTCCACGCCAGTACAGTAACATCAGACAGTAACATTCCTCTGTTTCTCTTCAAGTCATGGGCTGAGTTATTTATACACCTTTATCTGAAAGGAGAGACAAATTATTTTCAAGTCCCTTGAAAATAATTACCAAACTCAACGAATGTAAAGAAAATAGCTGACCTTAAAAATACATCCAAGGAAAGCTCAACCATTCTCAAGCCTAATTAGGAAATTCATCATTTTTTAATCACTTCCAGCAATAGACATATACCAGATCAACATCTGAACATTCATTAATCAGCTTGAAATGAGCACACTACTTTTATCCTGCTAAAAACAGAAGATGCTTTATTCTTAAGCCATTGTATTACAGATTGCTTTGTAATTCCAGTGCAGTAAGACTGACAATGAACTGTACTTTTAGAAAAAAAAAAAAAAACTACCAGCAGCTACTTCTCCACAATTAAAAATTTCACCCTTTTACAGCCCTGTTATTTTTACATTCATTTAATGAGTTGCTGTAGTAGAAATATTACAATTGTTATTGAAGTGTTGCGTTTATCTTGTTGCGTTTATGGTCCTGTTCTCTGCTACGAAGCATTCTACTGTAATCAAATTATTCAGTGTCTTGTATCTTTGTCATATTTCAGATATGAACAGAAAGGAATGCACTGTCACAAAAAAAAAAAAAAAAAAGAAAAAAGAAAAGGAAAGCTCTGTTTCACATCAGGTTTCTTCTAAGTTGTTTTTTGTTGTTTAGACAAAAAAAAAATGGTATACAGCATTTCAATAGTAATGCTCAGATAATATTCAGAAAACTGTCCTTTCAGCTAAAAGTAGGGAGGTATAACTAGACAAGATCATCTGGACTATAGTTACTGACCCCAATGACTGCCCTCATGCAAGAATCCCTTTTACAAGCAGCATTCCAGTCAGATTATTCAGGTGTCTGGGGCCACAAAAGCAAGCAAGTGGCCACAGAATAAGATCATGAGCTTATTGTGCACTGTGTCTACTCCATAAACTCTAAGGGCAGTGAAACTCATTTCTGATGTCATATGAAAACCCTCTATTGTCTTCAGCATCATTTGAAAAAAATCAGCTTATAACATCTATCACATTAAATCTGCCAAAACTGCAATGTCAAAGGAAATATAAAAGTGGACAGGAAAACATCAATTTCATAATTTTTGCCAAGCTACATTAATCTTCAAACATGTTCCTCTTTGCATTTTGAGAGACCAATTTTAGAGCAGGAATTTTTAATTATGCCATCAAAACATACATGTTTAACTGAATAGACCAGTCTTATGACCTCTTTGGCACCACAACCGACCAGAAATATGATTAGGACTTATCATTGCATCTCAAAGCCATACCAAAATCCAGTTTAGATAATGCAAAAAGATCATTCATTTCAAAATAATGAACTTTCTGTAATTTAATGGGCATTTGATTAATGCGTATGATTTTAGACCAAGTTTAGAAGCTACATACAATTATGAAATAATGGCAATAGCTGTGGACTTTCCTCTTCCTAACAATGTTATCAAATAAGAAAATATTACATGTTGCCTTAACGTAGCTTAACTCATTAATTCATATTTGTTTGCAATTAGGCTTGAAGACATGCTGAGATCTTTCAAAACAATCACCATAACATGATGAGAAAAGGATGGCATCACTACCTGACAAGGAACAAAAATCCCTGAGTTGTCCACCTCTGCACCAAGTACAGTGCTCACTCATGTCAGTACCAATGCATGAAATAGAGTACAAACTTTTACAAAAATAAATCCTCATGACGGAAAACTGTGTCCTGCAAAGTTAGTATTTTGCCTTGGCTAAGCAATTTCACATGGAAAGATATTGCACCCTGCTTTTTTGCAAGAAGAACTAGTCCTGCAAACCTACCTTGTTGGGTCCAACCAATCAATTAGGCATAGGTCTACAAGTATTAACTGCCAGAGCCAGAACAGCCTTCTGCTGAAGGAAATTAAAGCATAATCTCTTTCCAGTAAATGGCACGTTGACAGCATTGCATTCTTTAAACCTCCTGTATATGCTGTTGGAATGTTGAACTCAATCTTCTACACAGCCAGTTTTAAAAACCAAGTGACTGCTGAAGAAAGTAGACCAGGACTTTTACAAATCTCCAATTCGACATCAAAATTTCAGTCTCCTTTGTAACAGGATGAACAATCTGGTACCAAAACTCATACCATACTTGCATACTATGCAACACATACTATACTTGGGTGGAATTTTAACTGGAATTTCTCTCCCGCTGATAATTTTCATCTCTCAATTACATAAGAACATAAGCCATCACAGGCCACAACACTGTGCTCTTACAAAAATATACACACTCCTCAGAATTATGATTTTCATAATTAGCATCCACATGCCAATTTCAACTTCTTTATATTCTTTACAACTATTTTTTGGAAGTTGAGGGAGGATTTGAATATATTAGGGTTTTTTTTACAACTATCCAGAATTAATTACGCTTCATTTCTCATACTGGTAACTTTTGCTCAAGAAGATAAGGACTCAATTTTAGGGCTCTACAGTAAATACCTTGACTCCCATGAATGTTCAGGCAGTTTTTAAGCTTTCCATATCTCTTTTCCGTACAGATTAATCTGCACAAGCTCATGCAAGACACAAACCTGCATCTGCAAAAGCTGGTTTGGTGCTTCCTCTCCATTTTAACTCTTCTTCCAAGGATGCATCACTCTTTAATGAGCATAAAATTATTAATCCAAATTAATTCACATGACTGCTGGTGAAAGTTTCCTTAGACCTTTTATTAAATTAGAAGATTTGAACCACAATATATTCCTCCAAGGGCTATATTCCAAAGCACATCAGCATGGCTCATATGGACCAGCACTGTGGAACCCCTAACCAGAAATGCTACCAAAAAAAGTACCCTCCTTGTGCCAATAAAAACTCATTCTAAAGTAAGGAAGTTACTGGCTAATTGAAGCAATTTCCTGATTTCTCCCTGCATTTGCACATTTCCCGTTCAGAAAATTTCAGTTATTACTTGCCTGTGTGTGCAGCTCCTGCTGTCCCTTACTTGACTATGTAGCAGGCACACATTTTTCTTTTCTTTTTACATCTCATGTGAACACCTCATGTTTTAAGCCTTAAAATGTGCAGTGCTTCTGCAAAAGGCTGTTTTGATAAGCATTTTAAAGAAGGAGACATAGCATAAAGGAAAAAGTCACATTTTCCTGAAAAATGTACATGCATATATCCTCCAAGAACATGCTTTAAAGACTCATTACTATTTATTATGCATTTATTTCTGTGTTATTATTCCAACGCATCAGAGAAATACCATAGTCAAAATTTCGGCTTGATTTACTGATGAGAAACTGGAAGTTAAGCAGTCTAAACAGCAGTATCATAATAGATCTGCTCTATACCCAACATTAATTTCTCATCTATGTACCTCAAGACAATGGGAAAACGTCTCAGCTTTACCTTTTCTTTGCTGAACATATTATATTGACAACACACACAATATACTATCTCTGAGCAAGTGAGCAGAACACATTATCTATCACATTATCAGAACACTGCAGGGTCAGATCAGGTTTATTTTTAAGCTGCAATATAGTTTGTTCATATTTTCTCACACTTACAATTTCACAGAAATGAATTATTCTAGATTGCAGCAACTTTTTATACATTTACTGGCATTGAGATAACACTACAATATCTTACAGTAAAAAAAGTAAGTCCCCAGTCTTTATTCAGATATAGACTCCTGAGATGAGATTGTTCAAGTGGTTTTAATTTTTTTGCACTCTATAAAGGAAAACGTTAGCAATTCTCAGTTTCACCTGTTTGCCTTTCTTTAAAAAGATAGAGTTTGTCTGGTTTAACTGCTCTATAGATAAAGCTTACATTTGTCACTGCCTTGTTACACCGCACAAGCTGTGGGTCAAATTATACAGGAGCATCTCTTCCCCAGCATTTAAAAAAAAAAAAAAAAAATTAAAAAATCCACCAACCAACCAAAAAAAACCCCAACAAAAACCAACCAAAAAACCCAAACAAACAAACAACCACCAAGAGAACATTCAATCTTGAGACGATCAGGAGCGGGAGCGAGACAGGTAAGACTCAGAGACGATCTTTGCTCTAAACTTAACACCCCAGTAAGACCTGAAATCTGTATTATTTCTCTTCAAAGCACTGAATCTGAGAAAGGAAACAAAGCAGGAGCACTCTAAGGAAAACAGCTGTCGGTACTCACCTAGTGCCAATGACCAGAGCAGGAAAGAGCGGCAGCACGTAATAAGCAGCGATGAATTTCATACTGCTCCTCCTCCGTTCGTTCCGCTTCTTCACAGCGACTCTGGCCCTGTCTCCTCCAACCTCACCTCCCCAAGGGAGCTGCGGAAAGGTTCCACCTCCGCCAGCGCAGACAGACAGACGGCGTGAGGAGGGGACGGCCGAGCAGCGATGTTTGAGCTCCGGAGCGGCACCGCGGGCACAGCCAGCCGAGCAGCGATGTTTGAGCTCCGGAGCGGCACCGCGGGCACAGCCAGCCGAGCCGCCGGCAGCCCGGAGCCCGCCCCGCAGCCGCTCCAGCCCGCCCCGCCGGCTGCGCCAGGACGCGCCCCTTAGGGGAGGCCGAGGAGGGATTAAGGCGTGATGCTCGAAGCTTCATTCCGAGGGGACAGCGGGGCACGGCCGAGAAATCCTTCCTGGAAGTCAAAAAAAAAAAAAAAAAAAAAAAAAAAAAAAAAAAAAAAAAAAAAAACCGCGAAAAAAAAACCNCTGAGAAAAAAAAAAAAAAAAAAAAAAAAAAAAAAAAAAAAGAAAAGAGAAAGCCGCAGTAAAAACACCACCGGTATTTTGCAGTTCATGTCTTTATGTGATGTGACTATAAACAAGACAGGTGATAGAGAGGCAGGAGCTGTTCCAAGTAGGTGTCAAGCCCCAGAGCAGCCTGTCACTACACGTGTCATTTCTGCAAAGCAGGAACACACAAGCTACTATTTCAATCAGGTGTTCATTCACCCCATATCAAGCAGAAATAGCTTCCAGAACAGGATTTAGAACAATGTCATCTCTAAAAGCCCTTCATCACCTGAAACAATGGGCAAGACCTTCAAAGAAATAAATACCCTTTTCCTGTTTCCTGGGTTTGTATTCTGCCAGTCTTAATCAAAAATTACATAAATCAGCAAATTTGGTTAAAAATGTTTTCAGTGTGTAGATAATTGCCTACCTTAACACAAGTTCATCTGATGGCAAATCACATGAAAGTACAACATTTAAAGAGAAGGAATCTTTCTCCGCAAGACTGCAAACCCAATCAAACAAACTTGTCTGCAAGTGAATGAATTGTGGTCATAACAAGAAAGATATCTGGTCACCTATGGGCTTCTCTGCTCTTACAAAAGACATCCAGAAACTACATTATACATCACAAGCATAAAACAAAAATTTCCTTAGTTTAAACTGGTTAGTCATTGCATTCAGCTATTTATTGCAGAGTAATTTTGTATTCCATCACAGAAAACAGAAATTCACTGTTTTAAATTAATGGAAGGCTTTTAAAAATCAGTATTGTCCCTTAATAAGATATGCACATGGCGAATACAAACAAAATTAATAAATTACATCCTTCAATAGCAAACTGAGAATGATGGGAGGTAAAAGAAAAAAATGAAAAGGTGATATACACAGCCAAAAAGGAACAAAATAATTAATTTCTGACTTTCTGTGTCCCAACTCTGCTATCTTTTTCAGCACACCTGGCAGCACATTCTATTCAACCACATGAATTAAACCTTTATTTACTGTTATTTTGATGCTATGTACCAACTGGAATGAACAGTCATGTTACCATGGATACTTATGATAGCATGGTAAAAAGGTCATAAAAAGAAATGTTAGCTTGTAATTTTCTCTTCTAGAAAAAGCCAACCTTTCCAGTCTACCAGGCACTTCATAGTAATGTATCAGCAGCTAATACTTCTTTCATCTTCCTTTTATGTGCATTCATACAGGCTGGAACAGAGGGGAAGGTACTCGTGCATCAAGGCAGTAAAAAATGCTGAGTGACTTTAAGGAACCCTGTGAAATTTTGTAACTTGAGGAAGTATTTTATAATTCTGTTACTGCTCTGCCTTTTCCTTTGGGAAGTGGGGGGTGGAATAGGGAGGTCTACTGCTGCTTCTTGGTTTCACCTCAAGGGGTTTTAACAGGCTTGCATGGGAGAATATCTCCACAAGTGGTTGAGTGTACAGGCAGTCTGCAGCTACACCCAGATACAACATTGCCATTCCATGCATAATTTCTCCATCCTGTTCAGAATTGATTGAACAATCAGCAAGCTTTCATGCTTCCCTGCACTGTTGCTTTACTCCTGCTCTGATGTGAATATCCTATAAAGACTGTTGCAGCTCAGTTTGAGCCTGTAAACACCTCAAGAACTCAGTGTACAGGGTTGTAGCAATCTTTCCCAACTCAGGTCGGCCCATGGGAACCCTCAATCAACTTGAGCACAGCATATACACAGCCAGGCCAAGCAGAGACTGCAGCAACTGTACGCCTAAATACTGAGCTAGACACAGGTACAATTGCATCACTAAGACAATGCTTAGCAGTAACTGCATGTGGGACAAAATGAAAACCTGCCTTTTGAGAGGTAAATTTCTATAATTAAAGGCTGGGCACTTAATCTTCAACGCTGTTCTTGTCATACCTGATTATACTCCAGCTGCTTGCCTAAAGACACAAAAAAGCATCCTTTTCCTCCCTCCTGTTGAGATAAATTACCTTGATCTTGACAAGTTGGAGGGGGTTTTGTGTTTTGGTTGGTTGGTCAGTTGTTTGTGTGAAAAACGAGTGAATTTAAATGTTTAATAAAAGACAATAGGATACAAAAATAGAGCAAAAGTTTAAGGTAGGGTGCTTAGCATTCAGCCAAGAGCACACCTGCTATTTCACAGACACTTTTTACATACCTTTTCTATTGCATAAGCCTATTCCATATTCATAAAAAAATCTGCATATTTAAACGTTTCCCCAAACTAGATTACATTTTCCAAGAACTGTTTAGCATGGCTCTTCCTCGGGTCCACCTTTTTAGAGCATGTGCACTTCTCAGCTGTGGTTTTAGTCCATTCTTATTGTCACTTCCAGCTTGGACTTTGGTCATACTTTCTATAGAGAGCAGGTGCTGATAGTTGGCATATCAGTAGCAGGGGTCTTCATCATACATTCATTGGATGTTATCCCAACCAAGCAAGCAGTTCAATTACCACAAGCATAACTATATCAGCTATTTCACTACTCTAAGTTTAGTTAATAGCAGAAATAGAAACTATATCTTCATAGCAATGTTACTTTAACATTATATATATAGCATCCATTTTAATATTTGCAAAAAACCAACATTATAATATGTATTTATAATGTTTATTTGAGATGAGTAATGTACATCTTAACAAGAATATACCAATACCAAAAAATGAGAGAGAATCGCTTGCAGATTTTTCTTTTTTCTAGACATAGACTGTAGTTGATTTATTGCGCTGTGTACACTTTGAGATCAAATATTAATGTGCAACAACTTCAAAGATGTTATAGAAATATTCCATATGAACACAAGACATGCAGAACTCCATAGAAATATCATATTTTTACTCTTGTAATTAAAGGCTTTCTATTTTTTGGTTCAATTTAATTGACAATATTACTAAATAAATAATTACTCCTAGTTTATCAAACAAAAGATGATTTTATGTGCCATTTAAAAAATGCTTAGGAAATACAGAAGTTTCACTGCAAAATTCCAAGGCACTTCAACCACTCGTCACATAGGTTCTTGCAATTTTAGCCAAATACACCAATAGCGTAGGAATATTACTGCCTGCCTTGGAGAGGAAAATGAACCGTCTCCCTTTGCAAAATACAACACAAGCTTATGCTTGTCAGAGCAGAAATGTCACCGGAACTGCAGGGGAAAAAAACCCCCCAAACTCTCCAACAACATTTTTTAGTGTTAGAGAATTAAGGCATTGCTTTATTATGGCCAGGATGTTGGTTTTGCACAGAAAATCATGCTATGAAAAGACAGTGTCCATAAAGGAGACAGAGGAGTCCTGCAACTTTATTCGAATAAAGGGAGAGTCCACTGGGGCACACACCTTTGGGGTTTTCTCTCTCAAGGTTTTAGAGGATGCTGCCTCCTTTTTAAACTCCCAGCCACATCTTGCTCTCTTCCTTTCCCCATTGGCTGAGGTACTGGAAAGGTACAGCCTTCCCAAACCACCTTAAATATATTCCCCCCTTAAACATGTCATTTTCCTGCCAAGTTCAGAAAGTCAGGCTTGTTCAGACCCATTTGTCAAACTGTCTGGGTTCTAGAAGAAACCTGCTGCTTGAAGTTGGTAGAGACACAAAGACCCATTTCAGCCCAAACACAATAACACCCATACCCTCACCCATGGAATTGTTTGTAAAAACATTAGCACAAATCTTCCCTATCAAAATGATGTAAACTTCTAACATTTTTTAATTAACTTTAGTCATGGATTTTGTTTTTCTTCGCCCAGAAGGAAGGGAATGGAAGTGTTATAAATGAGTAATCAGATGGTTGGCTGTCACAATTAAGGGGTGAGAGCCCCTACATAACATTATATGTATGTTAAGAGAAGTTTTGTAAATGTATAGTATTTATTATCACGGGATGGTCTTGGTTATCCGGGCATTTGGGAAGGTTGGTTACTGTGCTAACACCTGGCCTCCAATCAGAACTTTATTGTAGAGTAATTTAAAAATGCAACTCTTAAATTTTATTTGGGAGAAAACCCTACATCTAAGGCAAAGCTACAAGTAGGATTCAAGTGTTCCAATTTCAAGTCCCGTGCTCTGTGAAGCAAAGTACATTATGAGGCAGATACCATATCAGCACTGCAGCACAGAGAATGTCAGCTTTCCTATGCACTTGTATATCCATGCATGCATAGACATATTCGTACACATGCAAATGCACATGTGTCTATATTTTTGTTGTATTGAAGTACCACTTTAGGTAACTGTAGCAAACTGTAACAGCAATTTGATACATTTTATGCATATTTTTTATATGTACAAAGTGCAAATGTATACTTAGTGTTCTTTAAGAACATTATGCATTCCCTTAAGAAACATCACAACCTACATTCCACATTAAGTAGTTAAATCCTCTCCAATCAACCTTCCTATATTTTCTTTGACATTTATACTTTTGTACTAAGTGACCTTTAATATTCAATGGTCCAAGACTTTCTTATTGTAGTTTCTTAATTTGGGCTTAATTTGGGCTATTGTTATAGCTTTTAACATAAAGAAGAGGCATTGGGGTCACAAATCAGGTTTATAATTATCTGTTTTTCCTTGCCACTCCCAGCTGTCTTGTAACTGCTTGTCACACAGAAATTTTAATTCTACAGTCTGGTACAGCGCTATAAGCGACAAGTGACAATTATCCAAGTTAGTTTTATAACATGAACATGATTGAAAACCTTTATACATAGTATCTAGGGTAGCTAGG